GAGGGTGGAGAGCCGCTGGTTTGCAGAGGGCGTGCTGGGGAGCCAGGTCGGGCGGCCTTCGGGGTTTGTCCGGCCGGTGGCGGGACTGTCGGAGGAGACGTACTCCTGCCCCCGGTGGTTTGCCTGCCTGGTGACTGGCCACCCCGAAAGCGGGAACCAGCAGATACCCCGGTAGCTGAAGAGAGAGGCGAGTCCCGCGAGGAAGGAGGGAGGAGAGAGAGGAGCTTTCGGGAACGGACAGAAGGCTGCCGGGAAAGGGGGCCCTCATCCGCCTGTTGCTTGTGGTCACGATTGCAACCCGCCTCCGCTCACCGTTGCAGACCCAGAGGCCATAGAAGGGCCAGTGCAAAGAGAGGTCAGTGCCTGTCCTATCTGCATTATCACTGAATCCCCATATATGGAGGCCACACATATGAGGAGCAGGACTGTGGGATGGAGGGAGCACATTCTGACGAGAGAGAGAGAGAGAGAGAGAGAGAGAGAGAGAGAGAGAGACTGGAGCAGGACTGTGGGAGGGAGAGAGCACATTCTGACGAGAGAGAGAGAGAGAGAGAGAGAGAGAGAGAGAGAGAGACTCCCAATGGGGCCCGGCTTCCCACCCCGTCTTCCCAGGCACACACACCCCCCACCCCGGCCCGCCATACACAGCTGTGCCTCCCCGGAGCCTATGAAAATATGAGTTTCTTCCACCTCCCCAGCATGATAGAATGTGAAGGCATGGAATGATGGCAGCTTCAGGAACCCCCAAATGGGTCAATGAGCCTCTCTACCACCTGGAACATTTGTACTGACCCCTGCCACCCCCACCACCATGCCTGGAACACCAGACGAGGCATCACTGGGAGACGTCTCCCATGAACCCTCCTCCCACACCTGCGAGGAAGCTGCAGAAGGTGACTCAGAGGGGCAGGAAGGGTGAGGAGCACCACAGGATGGAGAGGGTGCCAGGCCAGCAGGAGTACAACAGGTGTATGACAGAGAGGTACATACCTGGTGGAGGTGTGCAGGGGGTGGAGGGAGAGAATTCATGACTCGCCAAGTTACCTACAGCCCCGGTACCCGCTGTACCACCCCATCATTCCCCACTCTGTCTTCCTTACCCAGCCCCAGCCCTTCGCCCATCCACTTTCTCCACATTCATGGTGGTCTCACTGCCCCACATCCACCCCTCTCCCACATAGCTGTCCTTCAGGCCCCTCGTCCGCTCTGACAGGCCTGCCGAATGCACACCCCTCCCGGACTGCACACACTCACTTGTCACCCCAAAATGGAAAGGGGCTCTAAGATAATAGAAACAGACCATCCCCTCTCCTTCCTGTCTTTCCCGTCTCTTCTGGAACATGTGGTTGTATTTTATGTGCCTTTACATCCCAAAAAAACTCTTATCTGGTCTTTGCCTTCTAATTACCCCATTACTAGGACACCTGAAGTGGGGCCTGGGAGCTTCCTCAAGGCAGGGCTCAGGGAGGGGTTGAGGAGCTAGGAAGTACCATAGATCGGTCATATGTGTAGCTTTCCATGAGCCTGCGATGTCTGCCTGTCTGTTTTTCTGAGTATCTCCAAGAGAGAGGGAGTCTGGTGGAGAGAGACCCCCCAACCAGGAAACTTGAAGGAGCAGGTACACCCCACCACGACCACTACCTTCATTTCCTGGACTTCAGTCCCTTTGATGCTCTTTGCACAGACCTTCCCAGGGCTGCTCCCTTCTTGTCATTTGTGTCTCAGCTCAAATGTTACCTCCGGGATCTTCTCCAAAGCTACACACACACACACACACACACGCACACAGAGTATTCTACATCACAGCCCTTGCTGTATTTTCCCCATAGCTGCTGCCTGGTTTTATCTTGCTTATTAAATTGTTCACAATTGGAAATTGTTCTTTCCACCTGGCCCCAGACCCAGGATGTCCTCCTTGAGGACAAGGCCCTTGTGTTTTCATCTCTGTATCCCCAGGTCTTAGAACAACACCTGGCACATAGAAGGCATTCAGTAAACAGGCGTAAAATTGATTGAATTAAACACAGCGATGCTTGGCTGCTCAGAAAAGACCTTTATTGCTGACTGCCCTCTTTGTCCTGCTCCCTGCATCTTCATCCCCTGCTGGAGCCCTGGCGCTGCCCTATCTTCTCCCCCAACCTGCAGGAGCCTTGCACCCCAGCATCTTGGATCCCTGGGCAGGGAGGAGTGGGCTGACACACTGGAGCCTTGAGCCTAGTCTCCAAGCCCGGTTCCCAGAACTGACCTCTGCTCTGGAAGAATCCCTTCCAGCCAGCCCCACCCTCCCTTATAAAGCCACAGCGGGAAACCACTGCTCCTTTAAGCACACAGTCCCCCAAAGAGCCTCAATGCAGCTCCACCAACATTTATTGCAGGTTTCTCATATGCCAGGCACAGTGCTCGGTGAATCTCCAAAGTCACAGACATGCCAATGCCGGTGCCTGTCTCCCTCTGAGTCTCCGAGAGTCCCTGCGCCTCCTGTGGTCAGCGTGGCAGTTTCTGTCCTGGGCAAGTTTCTGTGCACGAGTGAAGGGAAGGGGTGATGGCCTGGCTCAGAGAAGGCCTTGTGCTAGACCTGGGCCCCACTCGCCGGCCACTGTCTGCTCCACTCTGTCCGTCCCTCAGCTCCTTGTGGCATCGCATGGGGGCCATTTCTCACCCAGAAGCAGACCCTCTCCATTCTCTGCCCACTGCTTGGCCCCACGTCTCTGTGAGGGGAGCAGGATGAAGGCAGGAAGGCCCAGCAGCTCAACCGCTGCCCCATGATCCACAGCTTCCGTTTCTTCCGCTTCTTGGGGTCCAAGGCCAAGGCTGGACGCTGATTATAGTTCAGTTGGGTGCTTTCCCAGCAAAGATTACAGACGCCAAGCTTCGGGGCAAGGAGAAGGGTTTGTGGGCTTCAGGGGCCCTCAGGCCCCAGCTACTGGCCGTCTTCAGAAGTCCCTTGGGCTCCTCTGCCGGGCTGCTTGTCTGCTCCATAACATCACCCTCCAATTGTCATGGGACTCTGGCCTCCGAGAGTCCCCGATCCCAGGGCTCTCAACCCAGCTCTGGCCTCTGGCTGCCAAGCCACACCCAGCTCATTCTCCTCTGGCACTCAGACCTGGGGTCTTTCTCGGAGAGAGTAATAGTTAAAATGGGGGCTGAGGGAAGAACTGGGGCGGTCACTCATCTGGGAGAAGGCAAGATCATTCACACACCGCACTCACAGACACACACACACACACACACACATACACACACACTCTCCGAGAAACACACACTGGATTCCTCCAGAAGAGAAAACCTGGCTTGAGAGGACATAGGAAACACCCTGAGAATGAAATCTAATACTTCTTCGACTCAAAGGGCAGGACTGGCTGTTGCTATAGAACCGAAGAGAGTCACTGCTGATCTCTGGGGTCCAGATCAGCCGCTCTGCACTAAGCCTCTGTCTCCAGGGGCCACACACCCAAACCAGCCTCGGTCTCCCTCATTGCCTGGGCTCTGACCATCCTGTTTTCATTGGCTGCCTTGTCCTGAAGCTGGGTCCCTATTGGTTGCCACTAGAGGTAGTATTTCCACTGACAGCGAATCCAATAGATAGATGAGCTTTGTCCTCTCCGTGCCACGCTGCCAGCTGTCCCCGCCTGTGCCCCCTCCCCAGCATGCATTAGGATTCAGGGGCACTGGGGTTTCCTGAAGACGGTCCAGCAGCCTCAAGGAGCCTCTGGTGCTGGCGAAGGTGCCTCCTCCTTTCGTGTTCCCCTGTGACTTCACACACCAGCTGGGCAGGGAAGGCCCCAGGAAGGCCCTTCAGCCAGCCTGGAGAAAGAGAGAAGGGGCCCCAGGGGAGCCAGGGAAAGGGGCAGGTCAGGAGGGAAAGGAGGCACCATGGGGTCTTGTGTCTGAGGGTCATGGTGAGAACCAGGAGCATTGGTAGAAAAGCCACTGGCAATATCACCACAGAGGGTCAGGGTCACTCCTTTGTCAAGCCCTGCAGTGGCTGCTCATCCCACTCAGAGTGGAAGCCCGAATCCTTGCAGGGATCTCTGAGGACCCACATGATCTGCTCCCTGTTATCTCTATGCCCTCGTCTGCTTCTCTCCCTTCTCCTCGCTCCCTCTAGCCACACATGCCTCCTTACTATCTCCTAAACACACCAACCACGGTGCCTTCCGCTGACTCTTGTCCCTGACTGGAACCTTCTTCCTCCGGATGCCACGTGCCTAAATTCCTCAGCTCCATCAAGTCATCGCCGACACGGTGCCTCCTCGTGGAGGTCCACCTTGGCCTCCCTGTTTAAACCTGTCACCCACCCAGCCCTGGGACGCCTGCCCTCCTTGACTGCTGCCCTTGGGTTTTTGCCATAGACTCATCACCTTCGGACGCACTATATGCAATTTATTTTTGATCTTGTTTGTTCTTTATTGTTTCTCCTCCACTAGAACGCATGCTTCGCAGCACAGGGATATCTGTGTGTTTGGTTCACAGCGCCTAGAACAGAGCGGCCCCTCCCAGGTGCTTAATATTTACTGAATGAAGCAATAAAAGACTCGCTCACCTTCAGGGCTCTTGTGGAGGTGCTTGGGGGGAGCCCTGGACTCCAGACTCTGTCCCTCGGTCTTGGCTGGTGTCGAAGGCTCTGAACACAGATCCTGGGAACATTCTGGTTGGGGTGGGGTGACATTTACAGCAGGATCAAGACTATATTTAGCTTCTCCCCCATATTTCCCCTCGAGATTCACTTTTCCTTCCTTCTCCCTCTCGGGGTTACTCACCACAGTCCTCATAGGTGGTGTCTGGGGAGCAGGGAAGGGGCCCGGGGGTGGGGAAGGCTCCCAGCCAGCGCTGCATGTCTGATCTGGGGGGACAAGGGAGAGTCCCAATTGGCCCAGGGGATCCTACCAGGGGTTTGGCAGGGGCCACAGGGGAGGGAGATTGGGGAGGAGGTGGTAGGCTCTGAGAGGTCAGGTCAAGGCCCCTTTAGGAGACACAACTCACAGGGAGGAAGCTTGGAGCAGCCGCTGGGTGGGGCGGCCCTGGTGGTTGCTGAGAAGGGAGAGGCGGAACGTCGGGGGTCCAGATGGGTCCGGAACCTGCTGGGCCTGGACCAGGGAGCGATGGGCATAGTCCAGCACCTGTAGCCGCTGCCCACTGCCCAGGGGAGAGGAAGTTCAGAAGGAGAGCAGACTCCTCCTCCCCACCCCTGCCTGGCCTCCCACCCTCCCTAGGACCCACCTCTTAGGCTGCGTGATGAGCAGCAGGTCACTAAAGAGCAGCAGGCAGAGGGGAGTGAAGCGGGGGCGCGAGGTGAAGAGCATGCCCCCTCTCCGGCACCCTAACTCCGTCAGCTCCCCCTGCAACTCCAGGCGCCTCGACCAGGAGACCAGGGGCAGGGCCTGGGAGGGGGCAGGGAGGAGGTTCTGGCTTCTTCATCGCACCAAATGGGGAAAGGGATGGTGGGGAGTCTAGACAGAGGCTGACCTTGACTTTGTGGAAGCGCAGCCTCTGGGTGAGCCGGATCAGTTCCTCGGTCTGCTTCATGCGCCCCACCTCAGCACTGCAACGCTCAATGATCTGGGTGAGGGGAGCTCGGTCACTCACCCCTACTCCCTTCCCCCCTTCCCTCTCCCTGATCCCCTCCTCGCCTCCCCGAGCCCCAGCATCCCCCGCAGCCCACCTTGCTGATAGCACCCAGGGCCTTCTGGGCATTCTCCTGGCGGCTGGACCCCTCCTCTGTCTGGTGCAGGATGTTCTGAGGACAAGGAGGAAGGGTGACTGGGCCCCTGCTCTGCAGCCCTGGGGTTCAGAGGGGCTGCAGCTCAGAGGCCCCTTGCCTGGCTTGGCAACATGCTCAGTTTGGGGTGCACAGGGCTGAGGAACCAGCCTCAACAAGGCTGAGAGACCTCACCACTCACTGTCTGCCTAACCCTGAGCAAGTCACGTTACCTCTCTGAGCCTCAGTTTCTGCATCTGTAAATTGGGGGCAATACCCGCCTAGCCTACCCATGGAGGATTCAGCAACGTAATATATGCAAAGCACTTAACATAGTCCTTGGCACATAGTGAGTGCTGAAAAGAAGGGTGCTGTTCTTTTAATAATTACTAACCACAACTATTAGTAAAAACAATGAATAACAGTGGTTAGAGCGCCTGGAATGCAACTTTGTCTCCATCAGTGATTATCTGGATGACCTGGACACGATGTTTAACCTCTC